TGTTGTATGACAGTCTGATGTTGTATGACAGTCTGATGTTGTATGACAGTCTGATGTTGTATGACAGTCTGTTGTTGTATGACAGTCTGATGAAGAGGATGCTGAGGGTTGTCTATAATGTTCTTCATTTTACGAAGAATCCTTCTTTGAACAATCATCTCCAAAGGTTCTAGAGGAGTCCCCAGAACTGAGGCAGCCTTCTTTATGAGCTTGTTGATCTTTTTGAAGTCACTTGCTCTGGTGCTGCTCCCCCAGCAGATGAAACCCAAACCACCTCAGCTGATTCTTTTTAAGACAGAGGAGCAGTGGCAGCACTCTAAGCAAAGAAAGCTAATTTTGGCTGCTTATATCCAATATCTCTTTCTTTATGTCATGAGCCATATTTAATGGCCATAGGTGAGGGTCATAAGTTCAACAGAACTTATGATCACTTATGATCCACGACCGACCAAATCAACACCCTCATTACTGAGGTTGAGGACTCGACCTGTAAATCCATCTCCCTCTCCATCTCACCATCACTCAAGAACAAGATGCCTAGATGCTTGAACTCCTCCACTTGAGGCAGAGACTTGTCCACGATTTGGAGAGAGCATTCCACCTTCGGTTAAAAGCCATGGCCTCTGAGCCACCGTGCAGACCTCCGCAGGGCATGCTGCTGAACCTTGAACTTAGGAAACAGCATCAGGAGTATAGCTGGAGGCAGCTACTACTGCACCAAACTTTAGCTCAAAATATCTAAAAAAGGATTAATAACTGTTTTATGTTAGCTGTGGTGGCCATTTTGAACCAAACAACAAATGAGTTGTAGAGGAACCTCCAGATATTACGTAGAGAGAGATTCATTCATTTCCATCCAGTCGTTCATGAGATATTTCAAAGAGTAAACCGTCTGAATCATTCTCTACACATTCCTATGGGATTTTGTGTCTTTGTTTTTTGTGTGGGGTGCACTTTGCTCTTTGAACTCCATTAAAGTTAGGGGAAGAGTAAGATTGTAATAAAACAGTACTTTACCAACAGATCTGTTTAGAGGTGGATAACAACAGGAACTTCTATTGAAAGTCATAGGAGGCACTGCAGTGAATAGCAGCTATAAAATTTAAGATTAAAAACACTCTTTATGATGTACTGCTGTATTATCTAAATGTTATTGTCTTTTTTTCCACAGAGGAAACACCAACCAACAATTCTCAACTGGGTAAGCTCTAACACTCTGTCATTAACTTAGATTGACACCTTTAGGTATACTGTCCTGACCAGACAGACCAATTTATAGATTTTCACAAACAACTCTACAATGATAATAAAAACACCACTGAGTAATGAAGTTTGGCTGCCCTCTAGAGAATTTCACCAAGAAAAAGTTTTCACTTTAAGTTTTGAACTCCTCTATGAACTGTGTTGTGGTGGAGGAGTTTGTGTCCCTGAATGGTCTTAGGAGCTCTGCTGTCAGTGGCAGGTGTGCCTGGTAGGGTCTCCCAAGGCCGATTGGTCCCAGGTGACAAGCTAGACAAAGAGCGATTTACAACAGATGTATAGATGTGAAACAATAAAGAGTTCAATATCCCTCGCCCAGACTCGGGTTAACGGGGCCTAACTTTGAGACCAGGCGTGCAGAGGGCCTCGTTGGCGAGCACCTAGTGTCTGTGCCTCTCTACCCATAATGCCCAGACAGGCCCGACCCAACTAAATTACATGGGTTTGCCTTTCTGCGGGCTCACCACCTGAGTCAAGGGCCATAAGTGTCAGACACAATGTGCTATGGACGACAGCTGAAGGCAGAAGCGTTGGCGCCCTTAACCTAGCTTACCAAAGTTGGCTCTTGGAACGTGGAATGTCACAGCTCTGGTGGGTAAGAGCCCTAGATTCTGTGTTAAGTTGAGGGATACCGATTAGAAAAGGTTGGGCTCATCTCAATGCGCAGTGTGGGTTCTGAAATCAATCTCTTTGAGGGGGCCTGGACCTTTTTCCATTTTGTATTTACCCATAGTTAGAGGCGCTGGGCTGGTGTGGGCATACTTATGTCCCTACGCCTTGGGGCATGTGTGTTGGTGTTTCCTCTGATAGATAAGAGAGTAACTTTCCTGGGCCTTCAGGTCAAGGGATGGGTTCTAGTTGTTATTACCCAGAGTCATTGATCACCTTTTTGTCTATAATGAATACCCTGTTACAATTTTAGGGTGTCCACAAGTTCACATGGTACCAGGACACCCTATGACACATCTTTGCAACATTATGTGTTCAGTTTGCAAGGAAATCACACTCCTCAGCCTCCCTGGTAAGGACTTTTTGGGGTTGCTGGAGAAGGGTGTCCAGGTGACCTTAAACCTTGGTCTCAGGAGGAACAATGTTGGTTCCTTCTCAGTGGTGGAACCCTGGACCAACTCTTTACACTGACTAGGGTCCTTGAGTGGGGATTGGAATTTGCCATACCAGTCTACATTTGTTTTGTGGACTTGCAAAAGGCATTTAACCATGTTAAGTCAGGTCCTCTGGACCTGGATGTTGGTCCTCTGGACCTGGCTGAAAAATGTTGGGTCCTCTGGACTGATTCAAAAACATACAAAACTTGTTGAAACGCTTCATCTTTAATCCAAAAGACTTTGTCAGTCTGAGGAGCTGCAGTAAATTCAGTCTTACAGCCCCTTATCAAAGTGGATCAACCAGTTTGTTGTTGATATCCGAAACTATCTGTTCACATGATAAAGGAGGACCATCAGCCTGATGGCCGCTTGCTATTCACAGAGGGCTGAGTCAAGTCAACTTTATTAATAGAGCACATTTAAAACTGAACCTGTTATCAAAGTGCTCAACAACAACAACAATCAATGAGTAAAATTAATGAAAAAAATACAATACACTAATAATAATAACTGAATAATTAATAAAAAGCATTTAAAACACGGGGTCACAGATTAAAAAACACTAAATCAATTTACACTGAGTGAAATGTCTGAGAGAACAGATGAGTTTTAACAGAGATTTGAAGTGAGGAAGGGAGGGGGCCTGCCTGATGGGGGGGGGGGGGGGGG